AGGTATCTGAGGAGTGAGTGAGTTTAGTTTTATGCCACTTTTAGCAATATTCCAGCAGGGGGCACCAGAAATTGGCTTCACACATTGTACCCATGTGGGGAATCGAACCCGGGTCTTCAGCATGATGAGCGAATGCTTTAACCACTAGGCTACCCCACCACCCCAGGTAACTGAAGACATTATGGACATACCTGTAGGAATCTGAGGATGGTTAACAAACTTTATAGATCTGCTCTCTTCTGACAAAGACCATTAGTATGACTTGAGAAATGTTAGAGAGATAGAGCTTCGAGAGAAGGCACAGTTACGTTGTTGTCTAAGAGATAGGATGGCGAAACCTGATACCTGCGGAACTTTTGATGGAAAAATTCCTTTATTAGCCTAGACCTGGGAAGCAAACAGAAATTAAATCACAAACAGAAAAAAACAAAGCATTCAGGATCAACAAACAAAACAATGGCTGATGTATGTCAGATATGTATACACAAACCTGCTTGGTCAGAAACCAGAATTCCTTCTGAGTTGTGCTCAACTGGGTTATGTATTGGCCATTAATAAACATCATATGACAACTCACTTCCTCATTTGACAGATGACCTGCCACCATGTTGTATTTTATCATACTTCATTAATATTTTTCAAAATTATATTTAAGAAACTAATTTCACAGAAACAAAGTCTCATATGACTTCTTGGACAGCAATCAGCTTGTGAGTGAGTGAGTAAGTATAGTTTTATGCTGCTTTGGGCAATATTTACCCAATGTCATGGTGCGGGACACCAGACATCAGTTTACACATAACAGCAAAGTTGGGAAATCGAACCAAGGTCTTCAGTGTCAGGGGCTAATGTTTAAAACACTATGCTACCTCAGCATCCCCCATTTGTTTGTAGACTACCTGCAATGTATTTTGTTTCAAAATTCATCCATAACCTAAACTTTCCTGATTACTGAACCCAGTTCCATAGCTGATTTCATACAGTTTTCTTGCTTATTTACTTTTTCCATAGTCATATCAACATACCTATATTGTTGAAAATCATCAATATTTGTGGAAATCATTGTGCATTGAACTTTAAGCATGCTAATATGTAACCACCATCATGTGACTTTATCACACTTACTATCCAAATTGACCTACATTACACTAAGGTCTCTGTATATACCAAAGTTTATAAAAATAAAATAAAAATAATATAAAAATATTTGTTCATGTCAATATCTCAAAGCATTATTGGTGCTATCCTGGACAATGGACAAAGCATCATAGGCTTAGCTCCACTAGTCTGTGACCAGCTGAGCAAAACGTTGTACATAAATACCTGTGAATTTGCACCTCCAGTAACATACAGAAAGGTATGTGGCTTCCAAGATGATCAGTACATGGGACACAACTGTCAATTTCAACCAAATAAAGAACCTAACCAAATACCCATCCATCCATCACACAGCACCACTCTAGCCCAAATTCCCAACCATCCATCAAACAGCACCACTCTAGCCCAAATTCCCATCCACCCATCAAAAAGCACCACTCTAGCCCAAATTCCCATCCATCCATCTAACAGCACCACTCTAGCCCAAATACCCATCCATCCATCAAAAAGCACCACTCTAGCCCAAATACCCATCCATCCATCTAACAGCACCACTCTAGCCCAAATACCTATATCCATCCTATCTTGCCAAAATACCCATCAACCATTCAACAAAAAGCACCACCCATCTAACACAAAGGTCAATCCCCATCCACCCATGGTTACTGACCATCTAAACCGAGAACCCATCCATCAAAATGTCCCACTCATACAGCTCATGAACCTATAACCCCACCCACAGACACTGCCCAGGTATCTTCTACATAAGTGCATGTTATTTGTAGCCATGAATTATGTATCACTAAGGCCTCATCAAGTCCTGACCAGGAAATGCTGAGGCACTGTTCAAGGCTGCCAGTGACCTGTTCTAAGCAGCTTTCCACAGACATTCCAAAGCAAACTTATATTTTTTAAATTAATTACATTTCATGAATTTTTCTGTGACAGTGTCAAACATTTCCAATTGAATGAAACACAAAGTTTGGTTTCAACAATCACTACCAGTATGGTAAAACATTTTAGAAAAATTGTATCCAATTTCTCACAAAGATGCAACAAATGACCTCTGTCTCAATCCCTACCATGCACAAAGTAGAAAAGGTCACATCCCTGATCTATTCCAAGCAGTTTTCAAGACAACCGGCAGACTTCACCTGCTAACACTGTTCAAGATTGATGCCAGCCGTCTCCATAAACAATTGAAATCAAAGCCCTTTGTAACTTAATTATCACCATCCATCTTTTTCAACCTGATTATCCATTTAACATCCCCATTACGCTCAAAACAGAAAAAAATACACAAATTTGTTACATGTCACTGCGATAAAGTATTTTCTCCAAACATGTTGCTAAGAAACGTAGACATCTTAAAATGAGTAAGAAATGGAGGAAATTAAGCGGCAAAAAGAATGAAGAAAGGAACACCCAGCTCAGAGGGAACTAAAAAACAAATACTGCTGGAATTGGAAATTCTCTTTTTCAGAAACATAGAAACGAGCTATAATGAAAAGCGGGTAGTTTAATCTTGTTTTTTTCACATGATTGACACACTGACAGACAGAAATGGAACAATTGAAGGAATCTTGAATATCTGAATAGAAATCCTTTGAAAAAGATGGATTTTTCACAACAGTGACTCACACTATATTTCCCAGGGGTACCAATACAAGTGTTACACACTCAGAATCCCCTAGTCAGTCATGGCACACAATTTCTGGTTGGTACAAATACAATTTGTGTTACACACCCAGAATCCCCTAGTCAGTCATGACACACACAATTTCTGGTTGGTACAAATACAATTTGTGATACACACCCAGAATCCCCTAGTCAGTCATGACACACACAATTTCTGGTTGGTACAAATACAATTTGTGATACACACCCAGAATCCCCTAGTCAGTCATGACACACACAATTTCTGGTTGGTACAAATACAATTTGTGATACACACCCAGAATCCCTAGTCAGTCATGACACACACAATTTCTGGTTGGTACAAATACAATTTGTGATACACACCTAGAATCCCCTAGTCAGTCATGACACACACAATTTCTGGTTGGTACAAATACAATTTGTGTTACACACCCAGAATCCCTAGTCAGTCATGACACACACACTGGTTGGTATCAAATACAATTTGTGATACACACCCTGGTCCCCTGGTACAAATACCAAATTTGTGTTACACACTCAGAATCCCTAGTCAGTCATGACACACACAATTTCTGGTTGGTACAAATACAATTTGTGTTACACACTCAGAATCCCCTAGTCAGTCATGACACACACAATTTCTGGTTGGTACAAATACAATTTGTGTTACACACCCAGAATCCCCTAGTCAGTCATGACACACACAATTTCTGGTTGGTACAAATACAAATTATACCCAGAATATATAATAATGCTGTTATTATAATACATGCAACTTAAGTATAATATATTTCTCTATAGGATCATTATTTAAGATGCAGTCTAATACTTTTGACAACATTTCCTTCATTTACTAAAACTAGTGCAATGACAAAATGTTAAAAGGTCTCATATATATCATACAAATTCAATTTGTTTTGCATAAATAAAGTGTACACAAATCTGACATACATACATCATGTCAAATTCAAAACATAACAGAATGAGAAGATTGCATGCACAATTCACATCAAAAGGAGAAAAACATTGTAAATATTATAAAATTAAAATGCATTCAACAAGATTCTAAGCTATATGCTTACAACCATCAATCATTCACAAAAGAAAATAACAGAAGGGAGGCTTTTAAACAACATGGATTCTGAATGAACATGGGCTTCAGATAAGAAGTGCAATGGTGATAGAACTACCTTGGAATATTGCACAGATGTTATCCAACATTTTGTGATGTGTATTATATCAATCATGTTTTTGTATATTTTGCCACTGAGATTGCAAATACCAAAATAGATTCCCTTCCTGTTTGTGCAGTCTATCATATTTTAGCATTTAACCACCAATTATAGTGTGTGAGGGAGTATGGTTTTCCACAGCATTTAGCAACATTCCAGGAAAATCACAGCGGGGACACCAGAAATGTGCCCATGTGGGGAATCAAACCCGGATCTGCAACATGACGAATGAATGCCTTAACCTGTGTGTATGTGTGTGTGTGAGTGAGTGAGGAGTGGAGTGAGTGAGTGAGTGAGTGAGAGAGGAGGAGGAGAGAGAGACACAGAGAGAGACAGAGAGAGAGAGAGAGAGAGAGAGAGAGAGAGAGAGAGGAGAGAGAGAGAGAGAGAGAGAGAGAGAGAGAGAGAGAGAGAGAGAGAGAGAGAGAGAGAGAGAGAGAGAGAGAGAGAGAGAGAGAGAGAGAGAGAGAGAGAGAGAGAGAGAGAGAGAGAGAGAGAGAGAGAGAGAGAGAGAGAGAGAGGTGCGTGTGTGTGGTTTATGTGCTTTGTGTGTTGTGTTGTGTTTGCTCAAAGTACATGCTCATAGTATTGTCCAGATAACTGCATATCATAAACTCCCAGGGTTGCACAAATTGAATATGTCCAAAAAACAAAATGATTGAAAACCAATTAGGAAGGGAAAAACAATTAACACAAAGGTCAGATATTCCCACAACTAGATACTACCACTTCAAACAGACCAAAAGGCTTTAATCTTGAAATAATAACCTTTGAAGGAACAGAACACTGCACTAAAGTGTATCATCACAAAGCTTACGAAATTAACCAATCCAAATTCTGTGTGCAAAATTTGAAGAAAGTGGAATAGGTTGAAAGTTTTCTTTTGAGGAAATTTCCTGATTCTCACCTGTGGGACACCTGTCACAACTAATTGGAGATGCAGCACTTCAAACAAAACATCTCATAAATGAGGTTAGTCCCACTTACAAAGTAAGTAAACCAAGTGTATACCTCTGGCGCCAGTTCCTCCGAGTACTCCCAGAGATCCTGCGATTCCCTCGTCTCTTCTCCTTCAGGCTGTCTTGGTATTTCTTCATCTTTACCCATTTCCTGCCTGCCGAGTCAAATGTGCACCAAAGGGAGACAATCACTATCAGCATCACCAACCAGTTGCATACGATCACACCTGCGAAATGTAACAACATGAAGGACATGCTTAAGTTCAGAACACTTCATTCAGAAATCATCTCAGCCATGTTGACAAATTTACTTAGATATAATCCTGTTTGCTAATATCTATTCTTTCTGTAAATACACTGGACCCATTCTCGAAAGGATGGAAATTAACACAAGTCTGGACAAGGCTTGGTAATGCTTATGGTCACAAAAGGGCTAATAGATTTTCAACACTGTGGGGATATTGCGATACATTATCGCAAATCATCAAGTTCACATCCTTGGTTAAGTTTAAATTCTGTCATAGATACATTGTGTCTGGATCCAATCAAAATCTAACACAGGGGCTTGTAATGCAATAAACTTGCATCAAGGTATATATTGTAACTGAGAGGGTCTTAGCACTCTATAACATTGAGGGGAGTGAGGGAGTTTAGTTTTATGACACTGTTAGCAATATTCCAGCAATATAACAGCGGGGGACACCAGAAATGGGCTTCACACATTGTACCCATGTGGGGAATCGAACCAACGTCTTCGTCCTGATGAGTGAACACTTTAACCACTAGGCTACCCCACCGTCCCATCACTTAATTAAAGGAGACATATTCATGTATATCTAATGGAACATATTTTACTTATAGCCATTCAGATCACTGACTAAATTGTTCAGTGCTGGGTAGATCATAGCCAAGGTTGTCAATGTAAACAAGCATGACCCAGGCCTGTTTGGGATGCGTAAATGTATATAAACTTGTTACGGCAGTTAGGTTAAGTTTCTCCAAAAGAATGGCAACTGGCATTTGCTGTTTGTGTACACTATGCAGAAAGCAAGACTGAGTGAATGAGAATGGTTTTATGCCGCTTTTAGCAATATTCCAGCAATATCACAGCAGGGGACACCAGAAATGGGCTTCACACATTGTGCCCATGTGGGGAATCGAACCCGAGTCTTCAGTGTGACGAGCGAACGCATAACCACTAGGCTACCCCACCGCCCGCAACAAACAAGAAATACAGAAGTTAGCGATACAAATTCTGAGCATGGATTTTAGTTTGGAATAAAACAATCAAGATTTTTCAAATTTCCAAAGACCCTAGCCCCCCAAAGTAGAGCTTTGATTTTTGTGACCTATGTCTCATTTCCTTGGAAAATCTATTGGCATGAAATGCTTATCTAGTTTTATATATAGTTTTATAGGGGTATATATAAAACTTGTACTGAAGACAGCAGTACATGAAAGTTAACGGGGCTGTATCGAGTAAACGGACCACCAACACTGGTGCACCACAAGGCTGTGTAATATCTCCTGTTCTTTTCACCCTCTACACTAATGATTGTGCAAGCTCGAATTCAACCTGTTCAACTGTAAAGTTCGCAGATGATGCAGCAATTGTCGGCAAACTGAACTACACTGATTCTGAAGAACTGTATAAAGAGGACATTAATCATTTTACGACTTGGTGTGCAGAAAACCACTTACTCTTAAATGTCACAAAAACAAAGGAACTGATAATTGACTTTCGGAGTAAACCCACAGAAATGCTTCCAGTGATAATCAACGGTGAATGTGTTGAGACAGTGTTGGAGTATAAGTATCTGGGAACCTTCATTGACTCTAAGCTGAACTGGAACTCTAACACTGAAGCCCTATACAAAAAGTGTCAACAACATCTTCATCTCATGCGTAAACTGAGATCTTTTAATGTTAACCCATCTGTGATGTCATCTTTTTATGTAGCATTTATTCAGAGTATTTTAACATTTTCCTTCCATTGTTGGTACGGGTCTCTCTCAGTTCATCTCAAATCTAAAATAGACAAAATTGTTAACACTGCAAGTAAAATCGCTGGAGTCAGATTTGAATGTTTATCATCAATATATGAGCTGCAAATCGTGAATCAAGCTGTCAAAATCATATCTGACCGTACTCACTACTTAAATTCGGAATACAACCTCCTCCCTTCAGGCCGCTGCTACAAAGTTCCAATTGTGAAAACTAAGAGAGCCCGTACATCCTTTATTCCAAGTACCATATCTCTCTTAAACAAATGTGAAGATACCTAAATCAAAGAATTTATGTAAATATGTTTGGTATCTCTCTAATGTGTCAGTAGCTCTGCTGATGTAACACAAATTCCTGAAAAGGCATTAAAGTATTATTCTATTCTATTCTATTCTACTCCCATCTTACTGCTGAGAGCTAAATGTTTATTTAAAGCATGTGCAAGAGCCTTGGACAGCAAGATAAAATTATTTGCACAACTAATTATGTTGACAGTGAAGATGACTTTTGTTGAAAATTTGAAAATTTGATTGTGTGATTAAAGCCAAATTGCAGAATATATGGCAATGATATAAGAGAGAAAGAATATTTGCAGGAATTATATCCTGTTTGGCTAAAAGTTAAGTAACACCTTCTTTTGATTTAATGTGACAAGGACTCACTCCTACTTTCAGAACTGGTCTGCACTGACCTCGCAACCAGAATAGTTTTTGGAGTAGGTTCTTCGTTTCTGACAAACAAGAGCAAGTTCATGCTTTCATGCAGGTGACATCACTTCCCAAATGAAGCCATGTGGGCAAATGAGTCCAAGGTGTTTATTAAAACAGATTTGAGAAAATCACACTAACTAATCAAGGATTACATTGATATATCTAAATTATCAGAAAACTTGTGGATGTATCAGAACTGTGTTTAAAAGAAGACTTTAACTTACTGAAGGGCATGTCTGAAGTTTGTAGGAGGCCTTAAGTTAAAATTGTTACAACTGTCACTGACTTGAATTTACTTTCCTTTCAGGAAAAACAAAAACAGTCTTGCCAATCTGAAGTGCCAGCAGTGAAACAGTGAGTGACAGTCTTAAAGAAAAAGCAAAGACACAAGAAGAATTTTATAATAGATTTCCACAGAAAGAATATTGTTTTAGGAAGTTTAATAAAGATACACATCTTGGTTGACCTTTATAGAAGGTGGCTACAGTTCTACACAGATACACATCTAGGCTGACCTTTATAGAAGGTGGCTATAGGTCTATACAGATACACATCTAGGCTGACCTTTATAGAAGGTGGCTACAGTTACACAGATACACATCTTGGCTGACCTTTATAGAAGGTGGCTACAGTTCTACACAGATACACATTTTGGCTGACCTTTATAGAAGGTGGCTACAGTTCTATACATATACACATCTTGTGACCTTTATAGAAGGTGGCTACAGTTCCATACAGATACACATCTTGGCTGACCTTTATAGAAGGTGGCTACAGTTCTACACAGATACACATTTTGGCTGACCTTTATAGAAGGTGGCTACAGTTCTACACAGATACACATCTTGGCTGACCTTTATAGAAAGTGGCTACAGTTCTACACAGATACACATCTTGTGACCTTTATAGAAGGTGGCTACAGTTCCATACAGATACACATCTTGGCTGACCTTTATAGAAGGTGGCTACAGTTCTACACAGATACACATTTGGCTGACCTTTATAGAAGGTGGCTACAGTTCTACACAGATACACATCTTGGCTGACCTTTATAGAAGGTGGCTACAGTTCTATACATATAAACATATTGTGACCTTTATAGAAGGTGGCTACAGTTCCATACAGATACACATCTTGGCTGACCTTTATAGAAGGTGGATATAGTTCTATACAGATACACATCTTGGTTGACCTTTATAGATGGTGGCTACAGTTCTACACAGATACACATCTTGGCTGACCTTCTTCATGGAAGGTTACCAGGCTACAGTTCTACACAAATACATATCTAGATTGACCTTCTTTACAGATGGTGGCTACAGTTCTATACATATACACATCTTGTGACCTTTATAGAAGGTGGCTACAGTTCCATACAGATACACATCTTGGCTGACCTTTATAGAAGGTGGATATAGTTCTACACACATACACATCTTGGCTGACCTTCTTCATGGAAGGTTACCAGGCTACAGACAAATACATATCTAGATTGACCTTCTTTACAGATGGTGGCTACAGTTCTATACATATACACATCTTGTGACCTTTATAGAAGGTGGCTACAGTTCTACACAGATACACATCTTGGCTGACCTTCTTCATGGAAGGTTACCAGGCTACAGTTCTACACAAATACATATCTAGATTGACCTTCTTTACAGATGGTGGCTACAGTTCTATACATATACACATCTTGTGACCTTTATAGAAGGTGGCTACAGTTCTACACAGATACACATCTTGGCTGACCTTCTTCATGGAAGGTTACCAGGCTACAGTTCTACACAAATACATATCTAGATTGACCTTCTTTACAGATGGTGGCTACAGTTCTATACATATACACATGTAGGTTGACCTTCCTTTCACATGGTGGGCACAGTTCTATTCTTTATGACCCTCTACAGAAGGTGGCTACTGTTCTATACAGATACACTTCTAGGTTGACCTTTATAGATGGTGGCTACTGTTCTAACCAGATACACTTCTAGGTTGACCTTAACAGATGGTGGCTACTGTTCTATACAGATACACTTCTAGGTTGACCTTATACAGATGGTGGCTACTGTTCTATACAGATACACTTCTAGGTTGACCTTTACAGATGGTGGCTACTGTTCTATACAGATACACTTCTAGGCTGACCTTTACAGATGGTGGCTACTGTTCTATACAGATACACTTCTAGGTTGACCTTTACAGATGGTGGCTACTGTTCTATACAGATACACTTCTGGGTTGACCTTTACAGATGGTGGCTACTGTTCTATACAGATACACTTCTAGGCTGACCTTTTTACAGATGGTGGCTACAGTTCTATACAGATACACTTCTAGGTTGACCTTTACAGATGGTGGCTACTGTTCTATACAGATGGCTCCTAGGTTGACCTTTACAGATGGTGGCTACTGTCTATACAGATACACATCTAGGTTGACCTTTATAGAAGGTGGCTACAGTTCTATACAGATACACATCTTGTGACCTTTATAGAAGGTGGCTACAGTTCTACACAGATACACATCTTGGCTGACCTTCTTAATGGAAGGTTACCAGGCTACAGTTCTACACAAATACATATTTAGATTGACCTTCTTTACAGATGGTGGCTACAGTTCTATACATATACACATCTTGTGACCTTTATAGAAGGTGGCTACAGTTCCATACAGATACACATCTTGGCTGACCTTTATAGAAGGTGGATATAGTTCTATACAGATACACATCTTGGCTGACCTTTATAGATGGTGGCTACAGTTCTACACAGATACACATCTTGGCTGACCTTCTTCATGGAAGGTTACCAGGCTACAGTTCTACACAAATACATATCTAGATTGACCTTCTTTACAGATGGTGGCTACAGTTCTATACATATACACATCTTGTGACCTTTATAGAAGGTGGCTACAGTTCTACACAGATACACATCTTGGCTGACCTTCTTCATGGAAGGTTACCAGGCTACAGTTCTACACAAATACATATTTAGATTGACCTTCTTTACAGATGGTGGCTACAGTTCTATACATATACACATCTTGTGACCTTTATAGAAGGTGGCTACAGTTCCATACAGATACACATCTTGGCTGACCTTTATAGAAGGTGGATATAGTTCTACAGTTCTACACAGATACACATCTTGGCTGACCTTCTTCATGGAAGGTTACCAGGCTACAGTTCTACACAAAATACATATCTAGATTGACCTTCTTTACAGATGGTGGCTACAGTTCTATACATATACACATCTTGGTTGACCTTTATAGATGGTGGCTACAGTTCTATACATACACAGATACACATCTTGGCTGACCTTTATAGAAGGTGGCTACAGTTCTACACAGATACACATCTTGTGACCTTTATAGAAGGTGGCTACAGTTCTACACAGATACACATCTTGGCTGACCTTCTTCATGGAAGGTTACCAGGCTACAGTTCTACACAAATACATATCTAGATTGACCTTCTTTACAGATGGTGGCTACAGTTCTATACATATACACATCTTGTGACCTTTATAGAAGGTGGCTACAGTTCTACACAGATACACATCTTGGCTGACCTTCTTCATGGAAGGTTACCAGGCTACAGTTCTACACAAATACATATCTAGATTGACCTTCTTTACAGATGGTGGCTACAGTTCTATACATATACACATGTAGGTTGACCTTCCTTTCACATGGTGGGCACAGTTCTATTCTTATGACCCTCTACAGAAGGTGGCTACTGTTCTACTAGGCTGACCTTTACAGATGGTGGCTACTGTTCTATACAGATACACTTCTAGGTTGACCTTGACAGATGGTGGCTACTGTTCTATACAGATACACTTCTAGGTTGACCTTTGACAGATGGTGGCTACTGTTCTATACAGATACACTTCTAGGTTGACCTTTACAGATGGTGGCTACTGTTCTATACAGATACACTTCTAGGTTGACCTTTACAGATGGTGGCTACTGTTCTATACAGATACACTTCTAGGTTGACCTTTACAGATGGTGGCTACTGTTCTATACAGATACACTTCTAGGTTGACCTTTACAGAAGATATACCCATCTGAGATAGCTTCCTTTACAGGAGTAGGTTATGGTTGAACACAGATAAGTGATACACACCTAGGACGGCCTTCTTTGCAGATATTGGGTTGCAGGTGTTGAAGTGTTTGGCTGTCCTTGCCCACCACCACAGGAGCTCTCCCAGGTTACACAACTTAACACAACAATCACAGATAAGTGATCAAACAAAGGTGTCACACACTATAATTAATAGGGGTGGGTATTGCAGAGAGAATTTCTTTGTGCGATATATTGCAATGCGGAAGCATATATTGCGATATGTATTGCATATATTGCAAGAATGTTTTAAAAAAACTATTTATAATCCAAACAATAAAGCAAAACACAACAAAATCCTATGATTGATTAACCTTTAATAAAAGCTTTTAATCATCAAAATAAAAATGTAAGTAACACACAACTGAAACAGGGAAAAGAACAATTATATAAAACGGACATATCCGAAGATTTCAGTCACACTAATGCATGTCAAAATACCTGTTTTCAAACAAAGGTTTCATGTCTGAACAGGTAAACACTGGTAAACCGGTTATATTGCGCAGCCCTAATAATTACACGCTCAAAGGAACACAAATGGAGCAGAAATAACACAGCTGTCCCACTTTCTGGACTGTGTAACTGCTGGCAACTGTGGTACCACTGATCACTATCATTAGAGTTAGGTTATCCATCTAACTACTGACCACTGGTGAAGCCCGTAGGAACTCAAACAGCATTAACAGCCTGTTGGTCTAAAGAACAAATCCACTCACTGCCATCATCATTCATCTTAACTTACTGATTATGTGTACGAGAACACACTGCATGGTGGTCCCAATTCACTAAAACGTTTGATGAACATAGAGGTGAGTGAGTGAGTGAGTGAGTGAGTTTAGTTTTACCCCGCACTCAGCAATATTCCAGCTATAGGGCGGCGGTCTGTAAATAATCGAGTCTGGACCAGACAATCCAGTGATCAACAGCATGAGCATCGATCTGCACAATTGGGAACCGATGACATATGTCAACCAAGTCAGAGAGCCTGACCACCTGATCCCGTTAGTTGCCTCTTACGACAAGCATGGGTTACTGAAGATCAATATTCTAACCCGGACCTTCATGGGTTGAACATACAGGCATCATCTGTAACTAAAGAAATTTGGGTGTTGATTTTGCCCCAAATGGCAACCAGCTGACACAGGTAAGGTAAATGAGGCTTCAAAGTCATTTGGCACTGCAAAGGGACAGACCAAGGCACCTTTGCTCTCTGGGTGGGCAAATGGCATGACAGTGTGCCTCTGTTTTAAACAGACTAAAGTGGATGTGTCGCACAAGAGGTCACTAATAACATGACACTGTAGCCCGTTTCAAGAACACATAATAATTACTGATCCAGGTTGTACATTGTTTCCAGTAGACATGAGAGAATAGTGTCATACAAGGATCGTGTCACACAAGTGTGTACAGGCCGTGCAAAGGATCTCAACACACAATGGTGCTTCCTGGTTTAATCAGATACATGAGTTTATGTGCTATACAAAACCTCAAGGATTTTATTTCTTATTTTCTTAGTCCTTATTTTCTCAGCTTACAGAGAAGCTTAAACACAAGTCATGGTTCAATCTTCAATGTCATCCCCCAGACGGCAATCAGCTTCAGAGACACCCTCAGAACCACCAACCTCTTAAGGTCAAGGTTGGCACTGAACTCGGCCGAATGTCAGTGTGTTATCTTATTTGTGGTCCCATAAAACAACATGATTATGACAGGAAGCACAAGACGATGTCCATAAATAAGGCTTGACATTGATACTGGAATCCATACTGCTGTTGCAATGCTTCTACAGTCCAGAAAGAGAAAGATTATGAATGTTAAGCATTGATCCCAAGGAGTAAAGGTAGCATGGAGCCAAAAGAAAAAAATGATACAAAAAAATTGCTGGACTGATGTCAAACGTTACTCCAGCTCATATAATTATCTTTACAAATGGACACTTCATATTTGTAAAAAACCTGACCTGAAAAAAACTCGCAGCCATCATGTTCTTGAATTTCAAAGAATGCAACTTTTTCAATTTAATACACTATTACATGGGCTTCCTAATTACCAACAGGAGCATATTTACCCATCAGTCTAGAGGAGGCCAGGTTCAGTTGACGGTCACCTGTGCACAACCCCACCATTACCATCACTTACAAGTCATCATTAATGGATCACAGTCTGTCAGACTGTCTGTGGCTGATGGAGAATGTCTGGGGCTGCAGATGCTGGCATGTTCAAAGCAGACTTTGCAAAAAGTTAAATTGTAGGCAGACGGTCTAAAACTGAAGCCCCTAAAAGTTCTCATACTCCGTAGAAATCATGCTGAGAATTGTATCTTTTCACTTTTTCATTTTTTTGAGTCTAGCATTTGGATCTTTGGGAATCTAATTCAGAAGGTCACATCCCAGTATGTATATACTCTCACAAAACAGGTCCTTTCCCTCATAGCTCAGCCCTATCCATGTACATTGAATGAATAGATATCAACAGGGAGATCACATCATATGTGATGGTTGGACATTAGTTTCAAGGGATTCTATCATAATTATAAGATCCACAAGTATTTGAATTTCACAACTATCTCATTTCACAATCAGGATTTCAACTGCAGTAATGTCATCCAACCAAACATCATAAATTGTACCACTTACACATTCCTGGAACGAGATCTAATTGTGACAGCCTTATGAAAAACTGAGAAAACAGTTTCTATAAATCGACCATTACAGAAATAGAAGGTTAAAGGACTGGCTGACTGAGTTTGGTTTTACGCCGCTTTTAGCAATATTCCAGAAACATCACGACGGGGGACACCAGAAATGGGCTTCACACATTGTACCCATGTGGGGATTCGAACCCGGGTCTTCGGCGTGACGATCCAACGCTTTAACCACTAGGCTACCCCACCGCCCGAAGGTTAAAGGAAAAAGCTGGACCATTTAGTAAACTGAATCGACTTTGGCTGAACTAAGGATACACAGGGAACATCATCCCATGTTTAGGACTATCAGCAGCAGCAGCAGCAGCAGCAGCAGCATTGTAACCTACAACCATGCTTTCTTTAACTGTCCCTTGCATGACCTCCATGCTCACTTTAAACTTTCCACCAACCCTATGGCATCCTCATAGGTCTATATAAATCTGGCCAAATCGCAATCGAGGTACTTTCTGCCACCATTTGGAAATACACTTTGCGACTACAATCGTACAAAGGAGTTTGATGTTCACAAAGCATCACAACTGATCCCTTGGGACCAATAAAAAAAGCACCCTGCACATTCACATAAGCGTATCTAGATCAAATCGATTCCTCGTGATTAATTGACTTTATATACATCCATCATATTCCTGCCAGTTTGGGGATATACGAAAGATATTTCATATGGTCATTAGTTATATTGACCGGCTATCTACTATCTACCGACCTCAAAAACAGGCAATAAACCCATTACATAGTGTCTATTACACATATCTATTGATCCACCATTGGTCATAATCTCCATCAGGGTGTATGATTGCTTGATGTATTATTCAATACAGATCCAGTGCCCTCCTCCCTTTTCAGTGAACACCGCCCCGCCTAGCGTCAACGACCGAATCATCTAGGGTAACTGGAGCAATGGGTTACTGTGTCGGCTGTTTCTTACATCCAAATTCAATTAACTCTCCACAGAACTGAACTTGTAATGGTTTTTGTTTTTTAATGGTTAAAGTGAATTATCAGTCCACCAGAAACATGACCTCTTCAATAACCAACCCTAATGATTTCATATTATAAACTTGAGACTTGCAAAGTGGATATTTCATCTTTTTATACTAAAGCATAAAGTATTATGAACAAAGTATTTCCAATGTTTCTGACTGAAATTATTAGTCCCTGTTTATACAATCTTCAGTGTGCTTCATGCAGAGCTCATGGCCTCTCACGATAAAGGGGCGGTGGGATAGCCTTGTGGTTAAAGCGTTCTCTTGTCACGCTGAAGACCCAGATTTAATTCCCCACATGGGTATAATGTGTGAAGCCCATTTCTGGTGTCCCCACCGTGATATTGCTAGAATATTGCTAAAAGCGGCGTAAAGCTCAACTCACTCGTATGATGAAATACATGTGTGTGACTGTCGCTATGCTGTACACATAAGTCAATGCCATGTTGTCCTGCACTACAACTAAGGAACGTATGCATTTTCTTACATCCAAACCAACCAGGTCCCTGTTTCACAAAGCTCTCGTAAGCCCAAGATCTCGCAACTTTTCTCGTATCATTCGTACTCCCTATGTTACAATATAGGAGGTACAAATGCTACAAGAAATGCAGAGATGCCAACTCTAATTTAGCCCAATTAGTACATTGGCCAAAAACTGATTAAAAAAGGAGTATTTGTTTGCCAAAAATTAGTATTGACTTTTCCAAAGAATTTTCATATTAAATAAAAAAAAATTATATATAGTCTAAGAACTTGTTATTAACATTGTACTCACCTAAATCAGTAGCAAGTATCCACATATAACTTGATACTGAATAAGATGTGGTTGAAATATATTGTGTATGGTACGTATGCTATTTAATAATTTAATATAATGTATTTTTTTTAAATAATATATTTTTACTGCTATCGTAGTCGCATATTTTGTGTTGTTTTTTCGTAACGAATACGATGAAATCGTATGGGTTGACATCTCTGGAAGTGTTACGAGATCTTGGGCTTACGAGAGCTTTGTGAAACGGGGCCCTGGATCATTAGAAAGCAAGTAAATAGCCAGCTCTATTTGACAAATCCAGTATTCCAGAAATGTCATAATGTGTACGAAAATGTTTTGCAGACTAAGTTACTGAATCTGTATTGGAGGCTACCATGACAGCAATCCTCAGTCAGTCAATCCATCACGCACTAAGGTTATAGCGGCATGTCTGACTCTAATAAGCTTTCTCCTAATCTTGTGCAACATCCTGACACTACAAATCAGCAGTATCTGCATGATGAGTGTCTGGATGCGAATCAAGCAGCAGCAAGATAAGGCAACAAACAGCTTTCACGAAGGTCTCAGTTCATCCTGAACTTTTATCCACCTGGGCCTAGATTTTCGAAGCTCTCTTAGCGCTA